CCAGGACATTGTCAATGCCTCTATTAATGCATCCAGCATTTGGAGGGACTGTACTGTGCTCCGGCTTACGAAAAACATGCGTCTTCAGAGCATTTCCGATTCGGATGAGCGTGACGAGGTGGCTGCATTTGCGGATTGGATTGCGAGTATTGGAGATGGTACTATAGGAGGATCAAATGATGGTTGTGCCGCGATCGAAATTCCAGATGATATAAGACTGGATCCATCTGATGATCCAATTGCTACGATTGTAGAAAGTACCTATCCAATGTTCAAGAATGCAACTAACGATCCGAGTTATTTGAAGGATAGAGCTATATTAGCTCCCACATTGGAAGTTGTTGAGTCAATCAATCAATACATGTCCGATATGAATTCTTCTGAAGGTCGTACGTACTTGAGCTCTGACAGTACTTCTAAGTCGGATGCTGGTAATGATTTCTTGGCAGATCTCCACACGCCAGAATTCCTGAATAGCATCAAGTGTTCTGGAACTCCCAATCATAAGTTGCACCTGAAGGTAGGAACTCCAGTAATGTTGTTGCGCAATATGGACCATTCTATGGGACTATGCAATGGGACGCGATTGGTTGTGACTAAACTCTCTACTCATGTTCTCGAATGCAAGATATTGACGGGAGATCACGCTGGAGAGAATGTGTTGATTCCTAGAATGAATATTACTCCATCTGATACTAAGATTCCATTTAAGTTCCAGCGGCGACAGTTTCCACTTGTGATATCGTATGCTATGACCATAAACAAGAGCCAAGGACAGTCTTTATCGCATGTTGGTCTATTCCTGAAGAAACCGGTTTTTAGTCACGGCCAATTATATGTTGCTGTTTCACGTGTAACTACTAGAAGAGGGTTGAAGATATTAATTTGTGATAATGAGGAGTTACCCAATAACCAAACTCATAATATTGTGTACAAGGAGATTTTTAATAATATATGATTGTTTCGTGACGAAACAATCCTTTTTTTTGTAATAATGTTCCTACGTATTAAAATTATTTCGATCCTAATTCATGCCATATTTATTATTCTCTAAAATTTTACATTCCGTGCAACGCACGGGTTTTGCACTAGTTTAAGGTATCCGATATCCATTTTTAAGTTTGGTAGTCAATATGTTGTTATTAATAAATGTAAGAATTTATGGTATAGAGTAGGCGTATTTATTTTGGTATGGAATGACCGAATTTAAATGGTATGAATTTTAGTTGTTATGTATTGAAGTGCATTTGGAAATTTTGAAAACAAAATAAATGGTATGAATATAATTTGGTATGAGTATGAAAGTCGATTTTTAAGTTGATTTGTTATAAAATCAAGGTGATATGATCCTCAAATTTTATCATATTCCCATAATAACTTGCCATAAAATATTGATGATAATTTAGCAAATTGGTATTTCTCTTAAAAATCAAAAATATCTTTGAACAAATATTGATTAATAAATATTTAATATTTGTAATTTAATTTTAGGAAATTAGTTAATAATTTTGAACGATAAGTTAATCGAAAACAAATCTAGAAAATTATGATATAATATAAGGAAATTTATTGTGTAGTCCAATATTGGTTTCTAAATTTAAAATTCAAATAAGTAATTATTCATAACTTACGAGTCAATATTAACTTGGTCGTAAATGAAATAGACAATAATTTATAGTTTAATAAATTACTCAACTACTTAAATTTTTTGATTTGGATAGTTTATACAGAAATAAATTTAGTTTTCATTAATGGAGCAATATAAATTTTATAATTATACTTTATTTACATATAGTTTTAAATATATTACACAAGTTTACAAATAACTATTTTATGGAATCACACTGTAATAATATCGAATTTCTGAATAAAAATTTAAAAATGAGATTTATTTTGAAATAAATATAATGTAATTTTAAATATACATGTTTTATGTAATTTTGCACAATTTAAATTTCTTATAAATTTTTCAATAAATTAATATAGGTAAATTGTATTGCATATAGATTTCATATTTTTATTTTAAAAATATGATTTAATGATCATTTCAATTTATAAATATTAATGAATATCTCTTACCCGTGCATCGCACGGGATTTGTACTAGTTTTCTCTTAATTATATAATTTTCTTAACATTTCATAATTCACATGTTGTTTCGATATTAGAAATCCATCCCGTCAAATTTAGATTCTTTTATTATAATTTTAATAGCATGGAATCTGCCTGAATTACATCATTTATTTTTATTGTAATATTGATCAAATTAAAAAATATTCATAGTTATTATTTTGATGAATGATTGAAATCAAGAATTATATTTTTTCATACAAAAAAAAAATCTATATATATTAATATTGCAACAAAAGAAGTGCTGATTAACTATAAATTTGCAAAATAAAAAATTGAAAATTAAGTAACTTATTATACACAAGTATCATAATTGAAAATTTTAACATTTAGTGATAAATAATATTATATCGAAAGATAAATAACTATATTAATCAAACGTTGAAACGGTTTAATATACACTTACCAAACAAAAGCATAACACGGAATACAAAATCAATAGAAAAGGCCGTTTTCAAAACAAGAGACCTAATCTTATTTGGTAGACCTTAAAATAAGGAGCCAAAATAGAAGTCACGTGATATTTTGACATATTCGGTCAAAACAAGATAAAATTGATATAAAAAAAAAAAAAATATGTTGGCAATAAGATTGTGTAATTGACTAATTTCAATTATCAATGCAAATATTTTGCTAATATGTATAATAAGATTTTAACTTGCATGCTGACGACACAAATTGAAAGCCTTCTAACAATTTTTAGCAAAAAGTTACCACACTTTCCTAGCACCTTTTAATCTGCATTGAATATTCCCATTGCAGACTATACATGATCGCTTACAATTAAATGCAGTCCAAAGTTACGGGCAATTTTATCACTGTAAACAGTAAAATTTAATAAAAGCCAGTTCCCAATAATGTTTGGCCAGTAGCTAGAGAGGCTCGAGCTCGAGTTTGACCAAACTTGAGCCAAGTATGAGTTGCTCGAGCGGATAGTCGAGTCAATCTCGATCCCATGTTTTACAAGGTCGAGCCGCTCGAGTAAAAGCGGAATTACTTAAATACCCCTAGTTTACATAAAACATATACTGTCATAAACAGGTTAATTAGTAATTACATAGTACAGACAGACACATTTACAAGCAATGAATTTAATGGCACCCTCTGATAAGAGGTCTTTTTTTTTTTTCATTTTTTTGACATAAGTGTAGGGAATAAGGAAATTTGAGTCCAAATTGTGGTGTTTTTTCAGAAATATACTATATGGAAACACACAATGTACATTTTCAATAAATAGTTCACATTGGATCTGAGCAAAGCTATCAAATTCAAATTCGGCACATACCTTCGAAGCTTGTCCAGTCGAGACCACCTTCACAGCATCAGAAGAAAAACGAGGCCCTCCAATAATGAATTCCCAAACCGTACAAATGGAATCATCAGATTATTTCAGGA